TTGTTAATATCTTATTAACTAAGCTTTATATAAATTTTTAAAAAGTGTCCACAATAATATGCTACCCTCTGTACGATATCGACAAATATGTGTCACGAGTGGACACCAGAAAGGTTAAACATAGAATTTTTTTTTGTTTCTGTAGTAACTTATATTTAGGCTTTCTTAAGTACATACAAGCTTGAACATTAATAAATTTACGCAATTTACAAATTGTTAAATTATGGCTAGGATTCAAACTGGTTAGCTTCTAATAGCAATATTTTACAAGGAATGCTTTTAATGGACGAAGAAGCTTGTTTCTAAGTCTTTTTTTTTCCTTGCTTCGATTTTACACAATTAGGATATAATAAGGTTCTAAGGAATTGTAATTGGCTAATTGAGTGGTTTCAAAAAAAGTTTGCATTTTTAACGTTTCAGACTTAACCTCAGAAAGTATTTGAGTCCGATACTATGGAAATTAAAAACAGTAATTACAAGTGTTACTTATGTAGCAGATAATTTCGAAGATAGACCTAACATTTTGGTAAGCAAAAGGCACAATAATTTAGCTGCACCTATTATATCATAGAACTAGGGCATCTCGAAGTATATACACGTACGAATCGGGTATCCGTATAGATAATTTAGTTAAAACGATATTGTATAGGTTTATGCCAAATTTATCTGTATATAAAATCATGATCTGCAAAGTTGACTACTGATGTTATTGTAATTCAAGTTCCTGATGGTCATTTTCCCCGATAAAGTTAGTTGTAATGCAGACTAATTTAGTTGAGATTATGTCTTTTCAGAAAATCACTTCCGGAAAATCATACAGCAATCATTAACGCTAATTTTCAGTTATTAAAGTCTGCTACTAATTCAAGAGTTACCTCGGAGCAATACTGGCAAAGAGCGATGAAGATTGGCCAAGTTTGCCACTGTCGTTTTGCGGACCATCTTGATGAACACATATATCCGGAGTTATGCTAGTGCCAATAAATGACTTATGACCCTATAAAAAGTTTTTGAAAAACATATGCGACACTTAGTGTTCCGCAAACGTGGAACCGCAGGGGATATTTAACATACCGCCACCAAGCAATTGGATAATGATGGAGTGAGACTCAATTATTACCCAATTGTTTGACGACAGAATGTTAAAAAATCCCCTGCTGTTCCAATTCGGGTACCCGTTTGCGGAACACTGGCAAGTTATCGTTCTGGAAAATGCTCATGTTTTCTGAACAAAATATATAAATTCCTGGTAAAATTTGACTTTTAATAAATGTGAAAGATTAGAGGTCGAATACGAAATAATCAGGAATTTATATGTTTGTTCCGGAAAAATGTGTATAGGGTAAGTCAGGTAAAGATTGCATGTTTGATGCAAATTATTATAAGCAAATACATGACCTAATTTTGCCGTACTCTGAGCTATGCAAATCACATATTCTTACATTAATATCGAAATCGCGCACTATAGATGCCTGATGAAACTATTTTGCCGTTGACGAATTGACGAAACTCATATGGTTCGTCGTTGAAGAATTGACGAAACTATATCCCTTAAACTGTTTTCCAGGCAAATTTGCCCGGAAATTTCATCACATTATAGTAAATCGTAGTAGATACGTAGTTAAATTGACAGTTTGAGGGATAGTTTCGTCAGGTCACGTGAGTTTCGTCAAGCATCTTTATCATGCACAGGGATGTAATTACTAAATTGAGGTTAATTCGGGCCAAAATTCGAAATTACACCCTATGCGTTGTTTCGCCAGGCTTTCGCATGCATGCATAGTTTTGTACTAATAGTAAATGCTATGACTAAGTCAATTATCAATGATGGTTCAAAATTAACGAAGCAAACAGATTTCACTCTTATCAGTCTATTTTTTAGGAATCTCCATTTGCGATCAAAAAAGTAGGTAACAAATATAAATTTATTTTTAATATATAAAATGTCCAAATTATAAGCCAATAAATATCTTGAATAACCTCTTGGCAAAACTCTGCTAAAGATTTTGTACCGCCATTATTTTTTAAGATATTTCTTGTCATGTTCCAGTATTGTATTTTTTTAAATACAAGTTTCATTTGATTTAGAGCATTTTTGGACATTGGAATCTTCCAAGCTTGTGATTTAAACTTGTAAAACTCGTTTATCTTATCCACAGAATTATTATCTAATTATATCGATACTTATGAATTACCTAAATTTGTTTATCCATAATCACCGCTTCTACAATTTATATACGTACAGGTAAATCATTGGCAATGTCGTTGTGGCTGTGTAATAGATAGATAAAAAGAGTTCATAGTAAATTATTCGTTAGCGTTAGAGTTAACCCAATTTCAAAGGAAATGGATGATGAAAGATGGGCAATATTATTCGACCAAGAATGTGGGTAAAAAAAAAAAGTTATACGATTTAGAAGATTCTTTTAAATTATTATTAATGGCATCAAAACATTTCAGATATTCGAGCCGAAGATTATAAACGCTGTTTACAAGCAGTGAATGATTTTAACATCTTCATCGATGAACTTCCTGATTTGCTCAAGAAGGATACTGTAGTTGAGTTAAGTCAATGTTCTAATTGCCACAAGATTTCACTTCCTCAACAATCTCAAGATGAAGATATGCAGCAATGTCATCGACAAAGATATTCACATAATATTGAAAGAGTTGCTTCTGTGGATGGATTACTCAACACTAAACTAGATATCACGACTTTAAAATCACTTTTTGAATTGTAAATATTGAACTACAATTTTATTTAATTATATTAACGATAAATTATTTAATTATAATCAATGATAAATTAATAGTTCTATTTTTCAAATCATAGAGTCGGAATGAATTTCGAAGAATTCAGTAAATCTGCAAATTATTTCTTTGAACTATATAAAGTTTACGTTTGTCGAAAGTGTGATGTAATTTCATCTTTACCCGAACATGCTGGATATCGTAGTTCAAATCATAAGCATTCTTATATCTTGACTAGTTTGGATCAGTTGAAAGGCATAAAGTTTGACCTATTACATTTCTTTGATATTCTCAAAAACTGTGTGGATTATTTACGTCCGGAAGCGCACTCTAACAGATGGGACATATATTTTGGACCTGTTACGTTAGGAAAAAGAATTTTCTATTCGGGTAATTTCGGAAACACAGACTGGAAAGAATATATTAAAATTGATGGTATGTGAATTGTACTCGGTTTAGATAATAACGACAATAGTGATACAACTTTGATTTTATTTTTAGAATTTCATAAAAATCACGAGACACTTGAAATATACACACGATTCCTTGAAGCTTTACCAAAAAGGCTTTACCACTGGGCACTTTACAAATGCCTCGATTGTAATACAATATCTTCAAATTCAAGAATAGTTGGTCCATGTTGGCAAACAAATAATTGGTCCGATGAAAATCATTACTTATCTCAAATAGCCCACAAATTTGAAAGAATTGAGAATGTTGATATTTTTTTAAATTCAAAAGTTTCATTGAATATATTGGGAAAAGCATATGCACAGAGAAATAATCTGTAAGCAATTTATTTCATATTATAATTAGAAACTTTATTTTATTTTAAATTAAACAAATATGTATTAATTCAAATGACTTTCTACATTTAGAAAATCCAAAAATTTACACAATTTTTTACAAGGCATTTTGGGATTTCCTTATTTCGTTAAACATTGCGAGATGTATGTGTGTATTCAATGTGGAAGCTTTTCAATAATGAAACAAGGCAGTTTATGCAGGTCGCCTTACCATAAACACATATTTAATAGGATAATTGATGTATTTCCTTTTTATGATGAACCCATTAATTTGTTTGAATTTCAGTATATTCTTCGAACAGCTTTAGATATTACTTATCCTGATAAACCTGTATATAGAACCAATAAAATAAATGGAAATTAAAAAATAAAAATAAAAATAGATTCGTAATTACTTCCGATTGACGTTCTATTTCAAGTACGTATAGTGTTTCTGTCTTTTCGGATACACTTTTATTATTATAATTATATTTTACAGATATTAAATATATTTTTGGATTGATTTTTTCAAGGTTCAAAGTTTATGCATCATCTGCATAATACATTGAGGCTTATTAAAGCATAAATACTTTCTATATTAGCAATTATTCTAATCTTACCTTTTTTTTTTTAAAAGAACTAATGAAATAACTTCAATATGATTTAGGGGCCATTGTTAAATTATTGAGTTTTCCTAACCATATAGTAACGATGAACCAACAGTTAAGGTTGGTCCCATTTATAGCATAATTGGTTATAATTAAAAGTTGGTGAAAAACTGTTGATCACGCGACTCACAAATACAGAAATTCACTAAACATCCAAAAGATACTTCAAAAAAATATATTGAATAAAGATGTACTATCGCCATTATTATTATCCGTTATTCATTTATTCTTTTTGTAAATAAATGCAATAAGTCTTTTCGCGTTGCACACACAACAATATACGTAACCTAATCTTACCTGAAGTTTCTATTATTGAAACAAATGGCACTATTTATAAATTACTTATTCCCGAGAATCTCAAATTGAATTGAAATGCGTAACCCAAGGATTAGAATGCATCACATAAGGTAACAGTGCGAAATGTCATATAGATATTGAAATATGCTGTATAACAAATCTTTAAACCGTAATTTTTGGCAGATTGTGATGTGCAACCAGTAACGTATTATTATACGGCTATATATACACTTTGTCCTATTTTGACTATTTCGGGTGCTGAAGATCTACTTGCATTATGCCTCGGCGGGAATACAAAATTGGTTCCACGACATCACCGCATTCAAATATAGAAGTCGGCGACACAGATATAGGTAAAAAAAATCTTTATTTTTTGTTCGTGTACGTACTATGCTGTCAATGAATTCTCGGAGAGTTTGCGGCTGGTCTTCAAAGTTCTCCAAATTATTCAAAAGAAAATAATAAACTCTGAAAAGTACTATAATTTGTTGTTAGCATAATGAGTCACAATCATACTTCTGACCCTCAGGTGAGCTTTACTTTTAATTTTGAATGCTTGAACAAACTTTTTAAATTAATTATTTAAATATAAAAGTCAAATACAAGTGAAGTTGTTCAAGATACAAATAATGTAGAAGTAATAGAAGAAATTGAGGGTAGCAGTGGCCAAACTGGCGGTAGCCAAACCCTCGGAGAGTTTTACAAAGAGGTCAGTATAACATTTTCAATAAGTATAAAGTACTTTTTTTTTTTTTGTAATTTATCGTAATTTGTCGAATTTAAACTTCATTTATAAAATTAAATTTTGTGAATTTCTGTTTATACAGGTAAATTCCATAACAGAGATGATTCGTTCGATAAGAGAAAATATAGCTGCACTCAGAGATTTATATAAAAGAACCCTGACCGTAGAAACGGAAGATGAGAGTTCTCGTTAAGTACCGTTCCTAATTTATTTACTTTGCACGATTCATGGATAATTCTTGAATTGATTGCTTAATTGTTTATTTTATTTGAAATAAACTATTTTAGGAATGTCACGGCAAATTGATTTATTGATTTCTGAGACAAGTCGAGTAAGCAGCCAAATTAGTCACAAATTGGCAGGTGCGAATATGTATATAAATATGTATATGTATAGTTTTTTTTTGATAAAAATGATATTTGTATTGATAACCTCAACATCTATTTAAAGTTATGGAGCAAAGTAACAAATCACTCGAAGGACAAGATCAAGCACGAAAGAGATTAACACAAGTACTTGCAGTTTATGTAAACCACCATATGGGGTCTTTGCCTTGAAAATGACCTTACGGAACTATTGTAGATTTTATGAATAAAAATTGAAATTTCTAGCCATCCAGTAATCCAATTCAAATAAACTTTTTTTTTTTTATTTTGTAGAACTCACTAAGCTTTACAAAACAAAAGAGAGTTTATTTAAATTGGATTACAGGATGGCTAGAAATTTTAATTTCTATTCATAAAATCTATATAGTCCAGTAAGATCATTTTCAAGGCAAAGACCCCATATATCTCCATTTTACAATATCATTCTGACATATATTCTAATTAATTCGAAGCATGCAACCTTAGCAAAATCATTTATGGATGAAATGTCAAGATATCGTAGAATGCAAATGGAAAATGCTGAAAAGTATAGAAATAAAATTAAAGAGCAATATTTTCAAGGTAGATTTTTATTCCGAATTTATTTATTGACATTCTGGGAGAAATATTTGCAATATTTAATCTTATTATTTTAATCCATTTTATCTTATTTTATTTGTTTATTTGTTTGTTCGTAGTGAATCCTGATGCCACGCAAGAAGAAATCAATCAACTCATAGACAATGACATAAATAAGGTATCTTTCATTACAATTAATGAACTACTTATTTAACACTGTATTCACTTAAAGACATTTAAATTGAAATTAGACACAGTCATCAGAACAGTCCGACCAGTCACGCACAATTCTTACAGAAATTCAAGACCGCCAACGTGATGTTCGACGGATTGAAAAATCAATAAATGTATGAATTCCATCATCGTTATTCGGATTTGAAACATCAAACATTTTAGATTACTCGGACTAACGGGTAGGATTTGGAGAATTTGCAAGGTTATAATCTCGTTGGATGTTTATATATTTAAAATTTCAAGATTGCTTCTACATATACATCCAGCATCGATAATTCAAACTTCTTCCGCCTAATTTAACCTTGAAGATTCATCCAATCCTATTTGTATGTTCAAACATTAGTTTGTGCGTTTCATATCTATCTCGCATAGTATGCTGAATGTGTGAATATACATATATCTACCCAGGTATACAGTTCCCTCTAACGCTATTATATACTCACAATTTACCGATAGGAATTAAATAAAATGTTTAGTGAAGTTCAAGCATTAGTAATAGAAAAAGACGATACGGTTCACACTACTAAATTTATCGAAGTAACAGACATATCACCAAGTGAACAAATCGAATACGAACTTCCAAAAAAAAAAAAAAGGGTGAGATTTCAATAATTTAGTGAAAGTTTGTACTATATATAATTTTATTAACATTTTTTATCATACAGAGTAAATTAATGATAATGATAGCTATAATTTTAATTTTATTAGTTCTCGGTATTATTGTATCATTGATTGTTGTTTTTGCTTTTCTATAATTTATTTTATTTATTTATTTTTTAGACAAAGAAATGTTGATTCTTTTTAAACATGTAAATCCAACTTAATTGTACAATAGCTAGATTTAGTCTTATAAATATTATATGGGTAGTTAAATACAATTCTGTTTATACTTATTCAGGTAATTTTGTTTATAGCTTAGGTTCATAGGGCTTGTATTTTAGAAACAGTACTGAATAATCATTTATATTATTTGAATACTTATTTATTTGTTAATTATTGGTATTATAAAAGACTCATGAAAAGATTCATAGTTGTAAAGTTAACCTTATAGCAAAATAGAATTGCTAAATTATATATAATTTTATATTGAATATATCATTTTTGTTACTGGTTAAAAGAAGGATAACTATTTATTGTTTATACTGCTATTGTAAAAAAAAATTTCTAAAAAATCATTTGTTTATACAATTGAATTAGATAGGCGTGTTAATTTATTTAATTATAGATTGTTCATTAAATTTGATTAATAAAAATTTCTCATGTTTAAAAAATGCTAGCCAATTTTCAAAAAAGCTTTAAAAATTAGATAATCATAGATCTGTCTAAATTAAGAGTGCCATTGTAAATAAATAAAAAAATAATAATTCTTTTTTTGGGAACGTGTAACCCTGACACAACAAAAACGAAAACGATGTCTATAGATACGCGGAATCCGGAGAAATTCAGATGCTTCCGTTTCTTTTTTTTCAATCTATTGACTAAGCATTCTTGGATAGCTGTATGTACTAGTAAATAAAAATTTACATCCAAAGTTGTATAGTCTATATTTTACTCTATTTATTCTATTCTTTTATTTTATATTCATAACTTAACTAAAAACAGCAGACTTTTATCAATATGCTAAAATCACTAAGAAAAATTCGTAAAAATAATAATGATACTTTATGCCTTTATCCTGGTTGCCAAAATAAAGTTAAAAGAGGCAGAAATGGGATTGACTTTAATTACTGTAGCCCTGCCTGTCAATTAGCAAGTTTTCAGGGTAGTAATACAGAGACAGTGAACGATTATATAGTTGCTCCGGAGGTTTATGATGCAGATGCAACAGATATGCAACAGTGGTCACAGCCACAAACTAACCCTGTAATATTAGAATCCACATCAGGCTCTTCTCAAAGTCCAACTGATGTTAGTCAATGGTCAAGAAACCCATTTAAATCACATCAACAACCCCCTTTTTCTTCATCTCATTCTCGTCCTTCTCAACAAGAATACACATCAACAAATGATTATTACGCGTCCTCGAAACAGCCTGAATCAAACTTCTCGATGTGGTTAAACCCTAACGCCGATCAGAATGACTTAAGCTTTTTGCCATTTGGGCAAACTACAGATAATTTGCCCGAGGAAAAGGTGGTGTATTGTTCGAATTGTACATACTTTGTTCGACCAAACAGAACAACATGTGAAATATGTGGTACCAGTATCAAGAAGGAAGAAACTGTGTTAAATGATTCAGTTGATTATTATTGGATTAAAGAGACTGAAGAGGAAGATGATGATTTGTATATAGATGTTCTTACTACCCACGCCCGTAACGATACTCCGGTGCAAAAAACGCGTCAGCATCAAAATCAACAGCAACGACAGCAGCAGCAACAGCAACAGCAACGACCGCAGCATGATGATAAGAACCATATCATGTGTCAAAATTGCATGTTTTTAAATCATCCATTGTTGAATAAATGTGAAATATGCGAATCCCAGTTAATTACAATCATTGATGATGATGATGATGAGGAGGAAACTAATAACTCCATACTTGCTTTCAATAATAACGCTTATCATGAGGATGCGGCGATTCGATGTTCTGCTTGTTCTTATTTAAATAATCCTACTCATTCCCAATGTGAGATGTGTTATTCACCTATTGGAGATTTGGAATTTTTAAACGTACCTGACTTGGATATGCAACAGTGTCCTATATGCACATATTATAACCAAAAGGACATGACTACCTGTGAAATCTGTGGCAGTTATATGCAACAGCTTGTAACAATATTGAATACAAGGATGACAGTCTTAGAGCCAGCAAATGCTCAATATGCAGCAATATATGGGAGATTTATAGCAACTATGCCTAATGTACGAGTGTTGGCCATCATTCTCATGCAAATGCCAACAAGGCTTTTTGAGGCTCATGAAAGGTATAAAAATAACTTGGCCCGACAACATCAACGTACCCCAGCCAATGTTACCCATAAAATGTTTCATGGTACTAAATGTATTTGCGATCCGGGTCGTTATATTCGCGGTGGACAATGGAATTATTGTCATGCTAATACTAGATGTGGAGTATGGTAAAGCTCTTAAATCTAATATAATGATTATTACAAATTTTGATTTCATTTTTTTTTTTTAACATTTATCTCAATCGACTACTGTTAAAATGCAAATAGTGGAATTGCACAAAATGGGAATTCCTCGGCTCATGGTCGATGTGGTGGAGGGCGTTAGTACATTTTTCCGAATTCATTTTTTCGATATTGTTTTTTTTTTTATTAAAATTAATTTTAAACTTCTAATTCATTTCTAATACAAATGAAGGCATGTGGTTTGCTCAGCAATCTAACATTTCATACGGCTATTGTAGCAATACACAAATTAAAACTATGTATACTGTTGACGTAGTTTCCTTACAACCACCGACCGCATCTATTCTCATAGTTGATAGAAATGAAGTAAGTATTATATACAGTCTATTAATCATTCTTTATATGGAAAAGATTTTTATTTCTCTATGTTTTATAGGCTACTCTTGTCGAATCATTGATACTATTTGAAGGTTAATTTTTTTTATCATATACATATGATGTGATTTTGAGTTCAATTGCTTGATTTTGAAAGATGTTAGCATATGCATGTGCCAATGAACTGTTATAAATTTAGGACATTAACATTTCCTTGTTCTTTTTACCGTTTAAATTTGATTTATTTACTAAAGATATTTGATCAGTTCACTAAAGGTATAAATAAACAACTCAAATGTAGAATGGAAATTTATGTCAGAATTATGTATCATTGAAATAGCGATATATGTGCTCAGTGATTATTTTTCGCTGTTCGGACTGTGTTCTTTTGAACAGATGTGAGGATACCGCACAGAAAAATCAACATTTTGTAAATAGTGCGCACAGTTGCTTGTGGTTTTTCTTTATTTTTCGCACAGAAAAGTTTCCAAATTGTGCGGTATCTGCACAGTAAATTTTAAACACCGTATGTGCTATTTAATTTTTTTTTTGTTTTTTTACGAAAGGCGATGCATATCTTATTTAGTTAGGGTTAGTGATAGGTTAGTTACTATTTTAGATAGTGATCTACATCAATAACATAACCACTTCCGTCACGGTTTCACCCAGTTGTGTTATTTTTAGGAGTCTAATAATAGCGATAGATTAGTTTGCGTACACATAACGATAATGCATCCCATTGATTTTGCCAATAAAACCTAAGATCAGGTGTAACGTAATACGAATATGAAGGTTAGGTGTAACAGTCAGGAATTTTACCCGATATAAAAATTGATCTGCATATATTAAAGACTATTCTAAAACCGATTCTATTTTAAAAGAGTTTTTATTATCTAAAAAAAAAAAAAAATCTTCACAAAAGTTATTCAATCAATATATAGTTAAAGAATACTCCAGGCTTTAAAAGGCGACCGTGCCCAAATAAATACACGGACAATGATTGGCGCAAATTTTGCCCAATAGAACTTTCCAATTGCAATGATTATCAGACACATGATTAATTAAATAGTATCGGTATATTTATGCTGAAAAGTGGAACCGGCAAAAACCGAAATTACAGGTTTTCGCTTTTCAGCACTCATTTGAAAAATCCCTGACAGCACTAAACTCTAAAAAAACTTATTTTGTTTCCAATTTTATTATAATATAAAATAAATAGGGACGAACATTCCCAAATTCAATAACATATGTTGTTGATGCAAATTATTCTGCAGACCGACTAATTTCGGGCCGAATTGTGCCATTACGTTTATTACAATTACGGCTGTTTTCGGAACACCTAGAAAAAAGTTGACCGAATGATATTAAGTTTTTACCTGAATGCACATCCAGTATGTTGGTATTTATGGTGAAGACTGTTCTTGCCAACCAAATCTTATCCAAAACATTAAAAAAGGTTCCGAATATACAGTAAGATAAGACACAAATAATAATAATAAAACTATATGATCAGAAATATATGGATTAAAAAATATATGTAAGTTATAATTCCAGACAAGTAATATTTATTATTATTGCACGGGTCTTATGCGACAACCCGTGCTTTTTTCATTTACTTATTGGCACGGGATTGTTATGTCAGACACCGTGCAATAAGACGGTTATTGTATGGGTATAGAATAACCTAGTTACGCACACGGGTTCATATTTAAATCCCGTGCCTTCGGCACGGAATATGACTAGGTTATTCACTACAACCCACACAATAAGGGAAAAACTACAGACACAGCCTTATCGACACAGCTAATGACCAGCACTAACCCTAACGACACAGCATGACCAGCATTATCGTTAAGGTTAGTATTGGAATATGGCAGAATTGAGATTAGATCACATGTTACTGTATCTGTAGCATTTCCCTACAATAACTATAAATTATTGTTCATGTGATATGATCATGTAAAAATTTTTTGCCTTGATATTTTCGCATGTACTGAATCTGTGACAAGATCAGAATTTAGCACAGGCCTTAATTTACTTAATATTCGATATTTAAAAATGTTCTAGTATAACTAAAATTCCGTGCTGAAAAGTTTTATTTAGAAGTCAAACTGTGGTTATCATAGTAAAATCTTGAGTTATTTGTGATTTTTCTGTTTTCACAATGGTTTTCGGATTTTTTTAAGTTATACGAGATCTTATGATGATCGGCATAAATTCAGTATGCGCATAAATGACATCATCATTTATGCAAAATTTTACGACAAAAAATTTCACATGCTAATGGGCATCGGAAGTGATCATATGCTTGATCACAGCTAATTCTCCGAAAATACATTACCTTAGTCGACTCCAAAATTCGTGATACTTATCATTTCGGAAAATAACATTTTCAAGGTAATGTATTTTCGGAGAATTAGCCATGATCAATTCTGACGTGTTCGGAAAATTCTTTCTATGCTCCTAAGATGATATGGTGCAGGAAACGTCGATGTTACACAACTGATCCTTCACCCGGTGTGCAACATACGTATAAAAAATTATTTTACAATTCCATTAGTACATGTTATGATTATAATCCAACACCATTTTATTATAATAAAAATGGTGTTGGATTATAATCATAACATGTACTAGTGGAATGATCTGGTATTGTAAAATAATCTTTTATATATGTGAAGGATCAGTCGTGTAACATCGACTTTTCTTCTTGTTGGTGCCGCCAAAGAAAAAGGAACTACTGAGTTTCAATTTCTTAATAAATTAAATAGATTATGTCAACAATTCTAAAATCATCAATCTAAAAATTAAATTTCAAGATTAGATGTAACATGATAAAAAGTTCTAAAAACTAAAATAATCCAAAAATCTGTAACTCAAAATCTTGCCAATAAAACTGTTTTTTGCATATTAATAAAAAGCTTTTCTTGCAAAATTTTGGTTTAATTATAATCTTTCAAACCTAATCTACTTGCAATATTCTAATCTTAACCCAATAGCAAAATGCTTTTTGTAATAAAATTTTTTTTTGGTTTTGTAATAAAAATGTATAGAATTTTTCAAACTGATAATATTATATAATATATAATTAAAAGTAAATTAGAAAAAGCAAAAATAAAAAAAAAAGAAAAATTTAAAAAATGAAATTAATATAGTTGTAAAAAATATAGTTATAAAAGAAAATAATATATAAAATATTAATATAAATTAAAAATAAAAAAATTTATTTATATTAAAATAATAATTTTTTATAAAATAAAACAAATATAAATAAAATAGTTAAAAAAAAATAAAAGAAAAGAAAAAATAAGAAAAAACAATAAAAAAAATTTTTTTTAAGATGACTTTTTTGATCTTTTAACTTTTATTAATGACATCTTTGGTAATGTAATTTTATAACACAGGTCAAAATTTAAAATTTCAATATAATATTAGTAAACTATTAGTAGAATATCAGATATTTTTTTAGCTAATAGCTACTAGATATTGCTTCTGATAGGTCTATTAGATATTTGTTACTTTTATTAACAAAATATTAGATATTAGATATTTTATAATAAAAATATCAAATATCTAATAAGCCTATTAGAAGCAATATCTATCTGCTAAATAGGTAATATATACCAAGTATTTAGTATCTATTAACTAACAAAATATTTGATATTCTACTGATAGCTTACTAAAATTATATTAAAATTTTAAATTTTAACCTATGTAAACTATTACAGAAAGAGTATACAATTGGTTACATAAGTAACTTTTCTATATTATTTATTTAAGAAGTCTGACTAAAAGTTTTTTACCAATTGTTATACTTAACATTTTTGCTTAGATGTTCTGTTTTAAATCTTCTAAACTTGCATCTATATTAATATTGCTAGGTTATACCTAGGTTATTATATTAATCATAAAACTATTTATATTTAAAATAACTTTTTGAAGTCTTTTGTATCTATTTTTACAACTAACCTAGTATTGCTATTATAAAACCAACACTTGCAATTAGAGTTATATTATTTAACTACTATATCCTTGTAGAGTTTACTTAAATCTAGCATTTACTTTATAGCATATTTCTGATATTTTAGATACTTTTATCTTTTTATTACATTTTTAATTCAAATAGTCTATATAGAACTATAATCAGTTCATTAGTATATTAGATTAGTTTAATATTTTTTTCTTTTAGTTTATTCTGACAGCTTAATTGATAATATCTTTAAGACTTCTAACTTAGAGGTTTTGTCTATTCAATTACTATAACATTAGTATCTATTTTCTAGATCTAGTCTTTACAATAGCATTATTAAAAATCTGTGCTATTTTTTTATTTAAATCTTTTTAAATAATTTTTTTGTTTTCTAATTTTAACAGATTTATACAGTTATAAAAGCTTATTTAGAGTTTACATCACCTAATGCCAGTTTGTACTTCTTTATATAACCAGTTATATAGATGCTTTATAACTTACCAGTTATACTAATATTATTATCATTACAAATATTTTAATTTAATTATTAAAAACAGTTACTATTATATAAATATTATATAAGTGATTATCTAAATTTTTGCTACTTATTAAATTTAAATATTTAACCTAATACTTGAAGAGTTGATAATTTATTCATTTCACTAAGTTATTATATCTTAATAAAAAATTTAAATAAAGAAAAAAGATAATAAAATATATAATAATAATAATATATAAATTAAATAATAATTTTTTTAAAAATTTATATTTCTGAGATCAATAGCATAGCAGTTATGTTTTGAGGTCACAAATTACAAGATTACTAGTTCAAATTCTACTTATTTCTAGAAAAGATAAATAATTTGTGATTGGGAAACTACCTAGTAATAAACACAAATTCGAGTCTGATTTGAAATAACTGAAGTTATAAGATATAATGTGAAGCTAAAAGTTTAATAATGAGAAATACTACATGAATTTATAGTAATAGTCAGTTCTATATAGAGCCTGATGAAGCCTTCTAATTTTAGCAAAAGTTAGTATAACAAATTACTTCTGAAAAGTTTAAAAGCATGAACCAAAGAAGGTCAAAGTCCAGTAACTGAAAAACATTTAAGAACATTAGTTCA